AAATTAAGTAAGTAGAAAGTTAAGAGATAGACAGTAGTTAAATAGTTAAGAGTTGTGTATGTATAATATATATTACTTTTTTTACCTTATTTTCATGCTTTTCAATTATCCTGAAGTATTTCTAAATGATTTTATACTAGGATGCAGAGAAAACTTTAAATATATTTCTAGAAAGCACAAATGGCCACATTGCAAAATATCTTAGAAAATAATATGTTTAAACAATGAGAAATTGCATACTTGGAATTTTGAAAATGTTCTTAAATAACCTTGTGTCAAAGCAAATTACAACAAATACTGATGACTTAGGAAATGCAACAATGAAGATAAGTATTGTAGGGAATGGGTGTAGAAAAGGCAAGGAAAAGGGAATTAAAACACTAAGTGAAGAATGAATTATGCACACAGGAAAGACTCAGTAACTGATGTTTTAAATTTTGCTGTCTTTCAAATGAGATAGTAGTCTACCTCATAAGTGGATTTACTCCCAATAAAAGCTGTTCTCAGTGCCACAATTAATTTCTTGGTGATAGATTTCACCCAATTAATTATTAATGTAACATGATGGATTCTCAAAGAAGGGGAAGCCAAAGTCTCCTCACTCTCCCCTACCCCCGACTGCTTATTCTCCCCTTCTCAGACCTCAATGTATAATAACAATCTTTTGATCTACAATCTCTTTATTGAAAAGTATGGCCCTCAAAAGTAGCATCAGCATTGCCTGGGAACTTGTTACAAATGCAGTATCTCAAATCAATAGCAGCATGATATTAGATCATAAAATAATAGGGCCTGGTAGTATGTGCCTGTTATACCAGTTACTTGGGAGATTGAGGTGAGAGGATCCCTTGAGCCCAGGAGTTTGGGGCTGCAGTAAGCTATGATCTTGCCACAGCACTCTATCCTGAATGACAGAGCAGAACCCCATCTGTGAAAAAAAAATATTAAGCATCTATAAGCCTTCCCAGCACAGTGCATTGTACATTGTGAATGCTTAATAAATGTTAATATTTATTTATTTTTTAGAAACGGTCTCACTATGTTACCCAGGCTGATCTCAAAGCGATCCTCCTGCCTCAGCCTCCCAAAGTGCTGGGATTCCAGTCACGAGCCACTGCACCCAACCCTATCTGCAAACTTTTAAAAAATCTATAATGGCACATCCATTGTTTCTTTATAGGTAATAATTTGTAATTTGCTATTACATATATATAGTTGATGTTTGTTACTGGTGGTAGTTCTATAAAAATCACTCAATGAATACTGAACTATTGTTTATAAGAGAAATGCAGGAGTAGGTTCCTGCGAGTCTCTGGTCACAGGATTTTCATAACTGATCAATACATAACCTTGTCTCAAGATGCCTTATTTAGTATACATTGTTCATTCATTAACATTGAACTCACTCATGGCCAACAGCACTATAACTCATGCCTTAACAAAGCTCTAAACGTATTTTCTCTGTAAGGCAACTCATAGCCTTCTTTTACTTAAGGACACTAGGCAGCACTAGGGCCATTTTAGGCAGTGAAATCACCAGGAAAAAGCACAAAAATACACTAGCTGTACCGTGAAAAAGAGGCTTGTTTACAGTATGAGAGCTGAACCAAAAAGGCAGTACCTTTTTCCACCTCAGCTAGGAAAGTGCGTGTCAGGTAACTCAAATTTTAGGTGGTTTTGCACGCACACATGCCCATGATTGATCGTGTAAGTGCCATGAGTATTGATTTGGGGGTTACAAATAAATTTTAGTAAGCAAATTCACAAATACAAAATCTGTGAAAAATTAGTATTGACTAATTAAACACATTTTTGTTCAGTTCCTTTCCTATTCGATTTTGGGAAGTTATATTTCTTCTTAATAAAGCCTAAAAATGCTGGCTTTTCTTGGGAGAGAATAACACTGATGGCTCCCACAGAGTTCAGGATCAGTGCAAATGTGCTGAAGGACTTGTGCATAGTTACTATGAACTACTCAGCAGATTGCTGTTTTCCTTTCGGTTGGCACTGGTTGGCAGTGAGCCAGAAGGCCCAGGTTATCAGCAGCTTTGTTTTGTTCTCCCTGGTGTGGCAGTAAGAGAACAATATTTTCAATATCAAACAGAACAAGTTGAAATCTAGAATACCTGTCCCAAATACTAATTTCAGAGAGATCTCAATAAGACTAAATGATGGTGGGTATCTATATGCCAAAAAAGTATGGTTTTATTGAGATACAATTAACATACAATAAAATACAGCTAATATTTGTTAAGTCCCAGTTATATACTTTGGAAGAAACTGGAGAGACAGTCATTATTCCCACTAAACATTCCCAAGGGTAAGTGGTCACAGATTCTATCAGTTGAAAATGGAAAATGTCCATTGGGGTGGAGGAAACAGACATCTTGAGGGCTGAGTCTGGACTAACATCATATTTGTTGACCTGTCAGCACAGTGTTGCCACATATGTTTTGTCGTTTTTTTAATTAGCCCCCAAACATTTTAAAAAGCAGATAATTTCATATAAAAAATCTGGACTTCTAGCTTCTCTTGAAAACTTGAGCTTTGAAAAACATTAAAATTACACAGTAGTAGTGGTATGGTGCCCCTTTATTTTGGGCATGTTTGCTGCAGTTCTTCACATCCTATCATTCTCTGTTGTCTCCTCATCGCTGAAAACAAATGTCA